CTTCAGCTCCACTGTTGCGCACAGCACATTTCACAAGAAGTCTGAGTCAGGTAAGCTGTGAGTCAGTAGACCAATAATCCTGTCGGAGAGAAGAGTACACTTTACCTGAGAGGAGTCTAATGACAAAACGTCGATGGTGACCGTCGTCCCAAAATTCCTTAGAAGCTCCCTCTCTCTCTCACACACACACACACAAACACACACAAACCGACACACCCTTACCTGAGGATGATGTAGCAGTGGGTGTTGGAGGACAGGGGGACAGCAGAGCAGACATGTCAGAACAGGACACGGATCACATGACCGACATACCTGTTCCTCCTGAAACATGTTTGTTTTTTATTGTCCAGAAACAGAGGTAATCTGGTTCGGTGCTCGCCCTGCAGCCAAGTTGACACCTGTTTAGTAGAGTAAGGAAAAATACTGTGACACATACATTCAAAATACTCAGTCATTCAATTAAAATGAAGAGAGTTTAACATTTGCATACGTGTTTGATCAATGTTTGATTGAACTTTTAACCCAAGTTGATGAAAGCACACGTGTTGCTATATCTCTACTGTTATTTTCCACTGTATTTTTCAAGTATTTGGAAACAGAGTTACTAAACCAGAGTTACTACTTCTATGTTCATATGGCAAGAATTAAAACAGAAGTCCCAAAACACAGCTATAGAAATATACAGTACATACATAAATATATATATATACACACATATATGTATACTGTAAATACAGATTAATATATATATTATGAATACAGATAAATATATATATACAGTACACACACACATAAATACAATACAATATTTAATTGTTATATACAATTAAATTAAATATTTAATTGTTACTTTGTTACCAATATATAGAAGTTTAACATTTTAAAATCATAGCCACAATTTAAGCTACATTTAAGTCAAACTTAAAAGTAAAACCAGTTGGTGTTGTTTTTTACCAGATCAAATGAGTCCAATTTTCTGAGTAAGAGAATCTGATCCTCTCATGAAAACCAATGTAATTTCCATATCATTACTCCATGTCTCATGTGATTTTTTTTTTTTTTAAAAAAGATACCTTTACACATGTAGCAGCTAGAAGTCATGTGCTAACAAGGCTGCACTATCTGTGTGCAGATCAGGTTCATCAGCAAACACGCAGAAGTAAGTAAAGAACAAAGTTGAACAGTGAAGAAGAAACCAAATCACAAGGTCATAGTTAAACATCTTATCTCGAAAAATATACAATCTCACATTGATCAACGGCTGGACAAATATTCCAACCATGTTCCCTGCTTGTGGATGTTTTATTGACACTGTCAAAACACACACACACACACACAGAGAGAAAAGCCCTATAAGCTCTTGGTGGAGCAACACCAAGAGTGTGATCACAGTAAAACCAGGAGGGGAACATACTGTATGTAGGGATTAGATGTCACATCTGTCTGGAATGTGATTTAGCAAAAAGTATCAAATTCAATAAACACAACAGCTCAAGGCTACAATAGGCTGACCTACAAACACACTACAGAACAGGAAGTTGTTTTTACCCGTTGAAGTCAACTGATGCTAGCAACTAGCAAGTTTGACAGAAAATGGATTAACATCACACAATCACCTGTTTTGCATTGGCTAATTACGTATAAAGTTTATATTATGAAGGAAAAAAGGTTTAATTGTTGGCAGAAGACCATATTAATTCTGAACTAGTGTGTAATTAAGTATAATAAGTGTTGAAAGGCTGACAGTTGGACAAACAGCCATTAGATTAGCCAATGAAATAATAATGGCTGACACAATGACATCGAAATAGCTCAAATCTAATGTAGTAGGCAGTTACCAGCAAAAAGTCAAAAACAGCAGTTTTTTTTTAACAAAAAACTTATAGCTAAGAGTAAAGGTTGGCAAAAGTTTTACAATAACACTGAGATAGCTTATAGTATGCAAAGCAAACCTCTCAGAGTAACTGTGGTTCCAATATAGCTATGATGACAAAGTAGCCCAGACAAAAAAATAAGCTAGTGCTAAGGCTAAAGGTCAAAATAGGTCAACAGGCAGATCACAACATTTTTGTCAAACTCATTTAGATCAAACTTAGCCAGAGACAAGGTTAGCTAAGACATAAAAAAAGGACTTTATAGTTAAATGTTGGTCAACCAGAGACAACTAGTGTACAGTATGTGCTTCAGCAAAACCAAGTCATTTGGTGACTCCAAACTAAGAAAAGAAAAAAGAAAATAAAAACTGAAAAAAAATAAATGGAGTTCAGTTAAACTCATCTTTGTGCTACTCAGATGGAACAGTTGAAATAGTTCAATCTACACCTGGGAAATGTCATCAACTGTGATCAGGTTAAAATTCAACTTTTATATTATTCAAGTCACTTACCAGATAATTTAAAACAACAGCTGTTAGTTTGTTCATAATAAATAACATTTATTTCAACACCATTCATCACAGAACAACAGAATTAGTATTTCCACATTTCATCTATTGACGCTGCAGAGGCTTCAAGGCCAGAGGAGGGTTCTTCAGGTCCACTGAAGACTCCTGCTCCTGGAAGTAAGTAAGAGGGAAATAAGTTTTGTTAAAGTTTGCATCTGTCAAATAAGTCACAAATGACATGGTCTGAACAGCTTCAACCTCAGAGTCGGAGTCGTAGTCCTCGCACGGCAGACCCATGTTGGCCATCAGGGTTTCCTTCTCCATGGATCTGCTCCTGAACGACTCCCAGGCTCTGCTGTTGACATCAAGGAAAGCAGGTTCAAGACTTTACTACTGTTTGAGGACAAGGGATGCTAAAGAATTTCTTATACCTTTTCACAAAGATAAAAGTAGCACCAATCAACAGGACAATGACGACAAAGACGCCGAGGACGACAGGGAAATGTCCATGGTGGTGCTCTTTGTCGTGGCAGAATTCTCCTTTGTAACCAGGCAAACATTGGCAGCGAGGGATTTTATTTTCTACCACACAGTTTCCATGGCCATTACAGTGTTGGACGTCACAGGAAGTTGTTTCTTTGACTGGAAGGACAGAGTTGTTTTTGTTGTTGGAGCGAGGGGTTGAGGAGGCAGCGTTGGGTTTGGTCTGGAAAGGATTTGTATTTGGACCTGTAGGGGACAAAGAAACAAGACCTTCAAATTCATATTTATGTTTTTCACTAAATTCCAGGACGGCCTAAACCCCTGGTTACTTCAGTGCAGCCCTGTACCAAATTGACCCATAGACTGGTACCAGTCCATGGGTCAATTTGGTACAGGGCTGCACTGAAGTTATTAAGAATTTACTTCATTTAAAGAAAAACTGGTGACTTCCATGTACTTCATTCATTTAAAAATATCTGGCAAAACACAAACACTTTGTTTGACTTGGCAACAAATATTCCATCAACAACTCATAACACAATTAAAGTTAAAGTAAAAATAGTTAATCTAAGTATTATTCCGTAACAGCTATGATTAGGGCCATAGGAAAAATGGGCAAAACTTAGTCAAAAATAGCTAAGATTGCATATAACCTATAAGCATTACTAAAAGTAGAGAAATGTAGCAGTTGAAAGACTTAGCAGACGTTTTTGCTACTAAGGCTAACAAAAACTGAAAAAAGTTCAACATTAGCCCAAACTGCTAGCACATAACATGCAAATAAAGGACAAAAAGCAAGCATGAAATAAAAAAATAATAGGTTTAAGCCACTTTACATGACTTATGCTAAATACGTGATATGTAACCAAAAACAGAATCTGTCACTTAGCCATTGTCACTAACCCTGTCACTAACCCTGTCACTGGGTTAGCCATTAAGCTAACCCAGAAACCCTTTTCACTCAAGTTTATTTAAATAATCATAATTCCCAGAACATCAGTTAAACATTCTTTTACAGTTAACCTTTATAGGATGTTCTTTTTCTTTAAGTTTTTATAAAAAGAATCTCATTAGGATCCAAATGTCCAGACAGTGTATAGAGTAAACTTACAGCCCAGTTCATCGGACTGGTCTGAACAGTCCACCCGACCGTCACAGAACTTCCTGCTGCTCAAACACTGGCTTCCATCTGAGCAGGACTTTTCTCCATCAGGACAGTCAGGCAGCACCACACAGGAAGTGACATCAAAGCTGTAGAAGGATTGCCCACATCCACACGTCCGTCCTCCAGGAAAGGGCAGACACAGATGGTCACATTGACCGTTGTTGTTGGAGCACATGTTGGTTCCTGGATGACAGAGAAACAAACACTTAGATCTGAGCTCCGACCACACAGGCACGCCACAAACATTGGCCACTTGAAAATGAGCTCCCAGCTAACATTAGCATTATTCTGTCTTAGCATTTGTCTTTCATTGGACATTTCACCATTAGTCGTTATATTGTTTTATTATATTTGATTGTTTTAGTTCAAGTTTTAGACATTTGTGTTTAAAATTACATGCTAATTTTAAGTCAAATTTAAAGAGGTTTATACCAAGCTAACTCTGCTGATCTATGATCCGTTGTTTAACCAGTTAGCTATTTTTTTTTCTGTGAACAAAATCATTTAATTGATGTATTTTCAAACAATTAAGTTATGTGCTTTGTGAACCTCGAATTTATACATAGATTCATTCAATTCCAAGGCGTCTTAAGTATGAACCCTAAACACTGCAGTTTTTAAATCCTTGCCATGATGTAACATGAAAGTTACATGTGGCTTCACACAAACTTATGGAAACTGTTTATGCCAAAGCAACAGGTGGTGTGGTGGTGAACTGCCAGGTCATGTGATCTTTTCCTGTGTTAATTAGCGGTTTTATTAAAAGCTGTACACACAAATCAGGGCCTTTAGGGCAGTGTCTCATTATCTGCTGCGTAACTGTGAGAACATTTCCAGTGTGAGCCTGAACCGCACCCACAGTGTAACACAGTCAGTCAATGGAGTAAGATTTAAGCTGCTGTCACTTTGAACACCAACATGAATGATTGCACAAAAATGTTTTTAGGATGACAACATCCGGCAGCACAGAGTGCACTTCTGATAATATTTGTACAATTAGAAATAAAAATATAATCCAAACCTCGATATAGCAACAGATTACACGTCATCAAAGACCCACGTGGTATCCCAGTATGAAGGTGGGTCACATGACAACCCCTCTATTTCCTTGTAACTAGTCCAACTCTGCAGCCACATTAACAATTCTTATTTCTTCTCAAAAACAAGTGACTGAAGGATTCTGCAGTAAAACAGTTTGGAAAATCTAAAAATATATTTACTTGCAGATGTGTACTATATGAAGTTTTTTCCTGTTGGCACAGCCCACCCCTCCCCAATGACTTACACCCTACTTTGTTGGGTCTTTAATGCAGTTGTTGGGATATGATTTGAAATGGAACTGGTGTCTGATCTAACCATTCACTCCAAACTGAGTCTCAGTGAGGTGTTGAGTTACACCGAGTCTGCTTGGTTACCAGAAAAGAGAACAAAAAGGCAGGGAGGGAGAGAAGAGGTAAGAGTGTTCTGTATCTGACGCAGACTGTGACTAACAAACCAGTTCTCTCTCTGCTAAACGTTGGTGTCTCTGCTGCAGAGCCTGTTGGTGAACATTACAGAGCTGTTGACAAGTCACTTCCGCAACCACACAAATCTCAGATGCACGGCTCTGTGTGTGTGTGTGTGTGTGAGTGTGTGACACACAGTTAGATCACAGCTGCCAACTTGAGGGTTAACTAAGATCTGCTGTTGCCTTGTTTTAACTCCATTTGTTTACTGGTGTAAACACAGAGTCAGTGTGGAACGAACCCGTTCTCCTGTTCTGTAGACAGAAGGTTCTATGTTCTGGCTGCTAATAACTACCTGTGGTTTCTGTGTCTATTGTTTCCACATCAGTTCCTGGATCAGACATTTATGTAGAATCTTGTTTTTCTTTGTTTCATCATCTGACAGCATTTCTGTCTCATTTCTATGTTACAATTAAAAATTATTTTTAATTTTTGGTATTTTGATCTATTACTTCACCTGTTGGTCAATTACACTCTTGTTTATTTTTATATCTTATACATGGAATATTATATTACTATAATTAGATTCATCTAGTTTGTGGTTTTCCCTGAAGTGTTTTTTTAAATAGTCTACCTGTAGCTTTTTTATACTTTGTTTGGCCATTTCTCCTACATACTGCTGGCCTAATATATATATTTTTAAATCCTTTCTTTTTCACTCCTTTCACATCATACTCATACTTCATTCATACTCTGATATTATCAATACATACCAGTCTGTGTGGTGTTACTGTAGGCCTTCACCTCTATCACCGTGGCCCTGGTCTCGAACCACAGCTGTTTCAGCTGAAGTCCATCACTGACCCACAGCTTTGTTACACCTGACAATGAAAACAAATTGTAATAAAATAGAAAAGTGTAGACATTTCTTCCACTTTTCTACCGTGGGGAATGAAACAGTGATAGTGAAAACACTTAATGTGATGTATCACCATTTTACAGAAATGACAGTTTTAGTGGTGAAGAGAAAAACTACCAGTGATTAAAAGTGGATTAAAGATGTCCAACAGAGAAAAGACTTGACTGAATTATTCATTCATTCACATTAGTCTTTACTGCCATCTGCTGCCTAAAGAGGAAAAAGAGATGAATGATGTGAATGAGTGCTAATTATTCCTACAGGCAGGACTGAATAGGCAGGAAAAGGTGGAGGAGGGAAAGGACTCAGAGTCTGAGACTCAAAAATAGCTTTACTACCGTTTTCCAGGGTGACCCAGAGGAGGAAGTTCTCAGTGTGTGTGAAGGATATGATCAGACCCGGTCCAGTTCGGTACTGGTTATATCCTGATCCGTCTACTCCGATGGAATTAATAACACCCTCACCTGAAAAAAAGAAAATACAAACAAGTCATTATTTTTTTTAACATACAAAATTATAATGTTCTAAGGTGTTTAAAGAAACTGGCTGTTAGTCTTTCGACGAGGCAAAGGAACAGGTCGTGACCCTATGTCAGAGAGCGTTTCTTGTCATTTTGATACCCGAGGCGAGATAATATTTTGGCACCACCCTTCTTTACTTTGCAATTTTGTCCCCAAGAGGAGTAACAGGCTCGGTCTGCAGCAGGTGGCGCCCTAAGCAAAGTCCATCTACGATAGAAATGTCACTGCTTACGAGTTTAGACCTGAATGAAGATTTTTGTCACTTAAATAAATTACTTTTTCAAACTACATTTGTCTTCATCTGTATTAATCTGTGTAATCATTTACATTTTTCAAATCCATACCAGTATCAGCCCAGTAGATTGTGGCTCCTTTATTAGAGAAGACCAGTGAGGTTGGGAAGCCGGACTTCCTCCACAGCACGGCCTTATTCCTGCCATCCATCCAGGCACAGTTCACCTCTGTCTGACTCTTTCCTCTTGTCATGACCACCGCACCGTAACACAATAGACCCGAGGGAGGATGCAGTGCAATGGACGTGGTACCCTAACATGAGAACGTTTTTAAATAGTTATAGATGTACACAAGTTATTGGTTGAAGGTTTAAGCTGAGGATGTTAAAAAAAAAGAGCAGAATCTGCCCTACCTGCAGTGATCCCTGCAACAGAGATATGGTGTAGCTACCATCTTGGGAGGTAACATGGAGATCAGGTCTGTTGGTGCTGCTCCAGTACAGGTTAGAGGTCACCCAGTCCACTGCCATAGCTGTGACTAAATCACCCTCCAAAACAAAATAAGGACAAACAATTGGAATCTAAACAGGATTTCTAACAAAAGATTATTAGAATTTAATAAATGATTTATTAAATTCTACCTTTAGTTTCAGGATTTGTCCAGCAGGGGTCAGTCCGTCTCTGGACCGGGGATTGCCCAGTTTCAGCAGATCCACTGTTCCTTGTTTAGCATCAGCCACATACACAGAGAGCTCATGTAGGGACAAGTCCAGCACCGATGCCTCAGTCACTCCAGGTAGGTACAGCTCTCGGTTGAGGGGCATTTTCTTCAGAGCAACGCCCTCTTTCTGCATGGAGTGTAAGTAAATCTGCAGCAGCAAGAAAAGAATGACATCAAGGTGAGAGTTAGCAAAAACCTGGATCAAAACACAATTTGAATATTTAATATTAATATTGAAATTGTCAGAGGAGACACTTCAAGCACTACTGAAATATCACGTTCATTTAAAAAACTTCAAATGTCCAACTAGGCTTCTGTAACACAAACAGAACATAAAACATCTTAAGAACATGTATAAGATACACTTTGCTAAAGTGATAAAACAGATAAAAAATTAACAAGCTTCTAAGTGTAGGACAAAAGTAGAAAGAGCAAAAACAAAACCCAAACTAATACAATTTCAACATGGCAAATATTTATCCTTAATTTTCAAAATTTCAGGAACATGTTAAAAATTGTCAAATTAAATGCTAACCCAGAAACCACTACGTTAACTTTAACAATTCAACCAAACTGCAAATGGCTATGATCAAATTGCTAAAGCTTGTTAGGACAAAATCATTCATATAACACATTTATCAAAAGGCAACAAGGGATTACCCATATCATAGATTTAAGCCAATACAAGAAATTAGGGAAATTAGCATACAACAATGATGCCTATTAACCAAATCAAATGAGCTTATTTTGGCCAAAACAATAAAATAATTAGCCAATAAAACTTTAGTGGAAATGTACAAAGTTGCCCCCCAAGACATTGTCAGCTCTAATCATGTAACCATGACTTTACACAGAGATACTTCACCTGATGGACTGCTGTGCTGGACAGGAGCAGAATAAACGTGGACTCTGTGGGCAGAGTGCAGGTGACCCTGTCTTTGGACAGCAGCAGCCCTTTTGGACACCGACACACTGCGGAAAGACCCCCCACCACTGAGACTCCTGACCTCCCTCCAGACACAGGAGCCAGGAGGCAGATGTGGGAGCAGCGTAGCTGATCACAGGGGCTAGGAGCTGCCGGCTGGGAGAGCACATGCAGTACCTGGAGAGAGTGAAAGGGAACGTGAACGTGGATGTGAACACCAGGGGGAGTCAGTATTAGTTTTTCACTCAGAGACGTTTGAGTTGGTGCCAAAGTCAATGCTTACTTTTAATCCAAAAGGTTGGCCCGGTCTCTTCAGCAGAACCTTCTGATCTTTGCCGGTGTTCTTGTCAGCTGAGCGGACGGTTCTTCTCTTTGTGTCGGACCAGAAGATTCTGTCATTGAAGACTGCCACAGAGAACGGGCTTGGAGTTTCTGCTAACTGGAGGATCTGAGGATTATAGGTTATCTATTGTTATACCAATGCCAGAATAATACTGCTAAAAAAAAAAAATAAAAAATGTATGCAGTAACAGGCAAGACAATCAAATACTCAACACAAGAAAAAAGAAAGACTGAGTTGTTGAACATCATGTGTATTTCTTCAATTCCTGTGAGTATATCAGTGCTGTGTTCACCTAGACAGGCTCAGGTTTCACACAGTGAATTGCAGGTAAACTACAACTAGAAGATCATCATATAAATTTGTTACGTATACTTTGAGACATTTTTTGCTTGGTTGTGTGCCACAGGATTTTCCCAATGTAAAAAGTCTGCTGTGGATCAAGGTTAGAAAACAAATCTGTGGAGAAATTAGCTTTGTTTTTTTTTGTTATTGACTGATGGAATGATTTACTGGTTCATTAATCTACAGTATGTCTTTACTTTGACATTGTCCCCATCCAGAGACGCTGAACCGATGGAGCGTAGTTTTTCATCTGCCCAGTACACCCTGTTGTCCAGTAGGTCGTAGGCCAGACTGACAGGCCAGCTCAAGCCTCGGCTCACCACCACCATCCTCTTTGAACCATCCATGCCCGAGCGTTCAATCTGAGGAGAGCTGCCGATCTCTGACCACAGCATTAGCCTGGAGAGGATCACAAAAAGTAAAATATGAACAGAGTGGAAATTCAGATTTAAGAAACACCACTAATTTTCCTTCCTACCCTCTGTGCGGCAGTAGAATCAGTGATCTTGGTTGCTCCAGATCTTCACCCAGGACCACAGTGTAGTTACTGTTCTGAAACTTGGCTGTGGTGTCAGTGAGCTTTAGAGCTAGTATCTGACCCACAAGTCCATCCACCCAGTACAGGTTCTTCCCAACCCAGTCCACAGCAATACAATCAGACTTCACTCCTGTGAACAAATCACATTTAAACAACATTTTGGAACATCTACCGACCACCAACTTGATCTGCTGTACCTTTGATGAGCGTCCCTTTGTTGTTTGGTTTTTCCATGTCAGTCCAGCGGATGCTCTGATAATCAGGACTCAGCCAGTAAACTCTGTGCCTCGCCCAGTGATAGTCCAGGGAAAAAACTGGACGACTGGCAGAAGAGAGGAGACTCAGATTCCCGCTGTGGACCCCCAGGACTAACAGCTCCGACTGCACTGACGCCAGGAGCAAAGGCTCATCTGGAGAAGGACAAGTTCTTTAAGCCAACTGAAATCACAATAATGATTTCGTTGCCTCACTTGTGATGGCGCTGTAGCACACACGCTGACTGAAGCAGACAGTAGGTGCATGCTCATTGCTGCCCACCTTTTTATCACCAAAATATTTGTTTGATTTCATGTGTACTACACATACTGATGTTCCACAGTCTGTCTGTGGTGAGTATTTGTCTATTTATATTGGATAGCTAACATTTGTACAATGTTTCTGCAATGAGGGGCGTTTCATGAAATTTGGGATTCTGATGGATTTTAGATATTTTTGTATGCCATTGGACATATACTATTTCACAGTGTATTCATTCTAATCAGTTATTCAAATAGAAACCAAAGGCATTTCTACTGCATAGATAATGCAGTAACACAAAGCTGATTGTTTCATGGTGTCCACAGCACCTTTGGTTTTGCAGCTTTTGTCGTCAGGCTCCAGGTAAAAGCCTGGGTGACAGTTACAGCTGTAGGAACCCCTGGTGTTGATGCAGATATGTTTGCAAACATCAGCTGGTGGAGAAGTGCACTCGTCCACATCTAAACAGGACAAATCAGTGGGATGGAGCTGGTACCCTGCAGCACAGTAACATCTCTGCAAACAAGAGAACAACTTTTTTTTTAAAAAAATATATTTTTAGAAAAGTGTTTCTGTTATAATACCGTCAAAGAAAAGAGGGTGATCAGATCTTACCGGTCCATTTGGAGTGTCAACACACTGGTCATCACACCGTGGGGCTAATGGGCTGGAGCAATTGTACTGAGAACATCCCGCGCCCTCATCAGATCTGTCAGCACAGTTGGTGAAGCTGTTACACACCAGGCCAGGGTCCACACACTCACCAGTACCACACTGGTACAGATGAGATGGGCATTTCCTCTGGCTGCCTGTAGGCCACAACAGTAACATTGTTACTTTTCATAGAGTGAAGAGGTGGTTTGCTTTGGCTTAAACCTCCAACACTCACATTTGTCTTCATCTGCACCGTTGTGACAGTCATTTTGTCCATCACATCTCCAGGACAGAGGGATGCACTGTCTGCTGTCTCCACACTGCCACTGGTATTCTCTGCACTTCACTGGTGGAGTCACACAGTCCTGGTACCAACAAAACATTTTCTTCAAATAACTTCTTCTTCTTTTTTTTTTTTTTTTAATAAATAACTTTCTTATAACAAATGTCAGCAGAGATCATCCTTCTTTACCTTCTCGTCTGATCCATCCTTGCAGTCTTCTTCACCATCACACAGCCACTCTTTCTGCAGACACTCGTGGCTGTGTGGACATTTCAGCTGTGCGGGGCAGCGGGGGGGTCTGGCACAGTCCATCTCATCAGAGTGATCGCTGCAGTCTGGGTAACCATCACATCTTAGCGCCTCAGATATGCACCTGCCACTAGAGCAGCGAAACTGGTTCATCGCACAAGACACCAAACCTGAAAACCAAGGTGCTTGAATGTAATACTTGAAAACTATTTTGGTCTTACAAAAGTCTTACAAAAAAGCCATTGCTAAAAAGAAACAGAAATTGTTAATGTTAATCACAATTTCAAAAGGCCAGAAGTTCCCAAAACTGTTTTTCCCCAGGCATAAACATTAGCCAATATATAACATTACCCTTAGAATGTAGTTAAATAGTAAGTTAGAAGACAACAAAGGCTAGATCACAAAAAAGTGCCACAGTTAATTGGAAATAGCCTGAAATGTACATAGCAAATAAATGTAGCAAAAACCACAGATAACTTAACCTAACTTAGATGCAAGTGCTACAAGTTAGCTAAAAAGCTACGCAAGTAGAGAGTTCTTCTCAAGAAAGTTAGCTACAGCTTAGTACCATAATTCAAATGAAAGTTTAAAAAAAAGGATATAAATGTGAATAGCCAAGAAACATTTGTTTAGCCCGAACAAAATTAATAAATAACCATTAACAATGTAACTGTTGCCACGGTTGTGCAGAACATGATCCCATGTTCCAGTACGTACCGCACTTATTTTCATCGGATCCATCGGCGCAGTCTTTCTCTCCATCACACAGGAAGGTGTCAGGTACGCAGCGAGTGTTGTTGTCGCAACGGTGATGGCAGCCATCCATCAGCTTAGAACAGTCCAGTTCATCTGAGCGGTCTTGACAGTCGTACTGGCCGTCACACACTTTGGCCGATGGGATGCATCGGTTACCATGAGAACACTGGAACTCATCTGGGACAGAAAAAAAAAATCTGAACTATGGAGAACAGAAACTGTTTAGTTTTGGTCATGGTTGCACATTCAACCCAGACAAACCTGCTTTGCACTGAGCAGCACACCCGTCTTCATCAGATCCATCCTGACAGTCCTTCTCACCATCACAGACATGGCTGTACAGGACACAGTCCAGTCCGTCTTTACAGAGCTTGAAACCTTTGCGACACTTCAGGGGTTTTGGTCTAGGGTCGAAGGCTTCGCAGACAAAATATGATTTTTTTTTTAAAAAAGTTGAGTTTGCGAGACATAGAAATCTGACTTGATTCTTGGCTGTGCATTATGGACAGATCAAAACAAAACAACTAGCCTCACTGAAGTCACCAGAAATCGCAGGTGTTGCAAATATAAAGCAAATGAACCCAGAAATCTGGTAATCTAACTCAAGTTATAGAATCCTAAAAGAGAAAACTTGCAATAGGGCAGCAGAAAATATCCAACTGTAGTCCAATAACTAGGAAAAACAAAAACAAAAAAGAGAAGGCTAAGATTTACATATAGAGTAGTCCAATAACTAGGAAAAACAAAAACGAGAAGGCTAAGATTTACATATAGAAAACAGATACAAATACCTTGACTATGAAAAAAATAAAACAATTAGCCAAAACATGTACTTAGCCCAGCATGGACCACAGATTACCAAAGTAAAACTAAAATTAGGCTAAATTTTAAATCCAAAAGCCCAACCCTCAGTCAAGATAAGCAATAAATACCAAAATAAAGGTAACTCAAATTAGACAACTTAAAAGAAAAATACATTATCAAAATAATGAGGCCTTTTCCATATATATGCTTTATATGCTTTTTTTAACCTAGCATTATATCCTTGAGCCCTGCATACACTTTAGCCACAAAACATTTAAAACGCATCTTTCTATCAAATGCTTATTGTGATTGTTATGAACGCGTTTCTTTTTTCCTTACTTGGAGTAAGAAGATCCAGTGACTGACACTTGATCTCATCAGAGCCGTCGGGACAGTGGGCTCGACCATCACACACCATAAAACTGGACACACACTTCCTCTTGTCTCTGCATAAGAAGTCATCTGACATAAAGGCAGAAGTTCACAGTCAGACCGCAGACATTATGGACCATCATCATCATCAAGTCATCGTTCCCCACCTTTGTTTTGACACTGGAACACACACTCTTGTTCATCAAAACCATCAGGACAGTCTATCTGGGTGTCACACAGTCGACTCTCAGAGATGCAAATTGACGAACCCGGGCAGAGGACAGAGGGAGCAATGCATGCTGGTCTGGTTGTGCTGGCAGGAGGTGCTGGTGTTTCAACAACAGCAGGTTCTGGAGAAATTGAAGATAATTTGATGTTAAAGGACAAACCAGAAAACTTTGGTTATTTCTTTTAGTGTCAGCATAGTCTAGGATTTTAAAAAATACACATTAAGAACCAGGTTTTGCTATGAAAGCTCAAAATATTGTTACAAAGGCAATGTAATGATTTTTCACAATGAAGTAACGACAAACAACCACTTCTTGTTTTAGACCATTGTTGATAGCATTTGGACCTCATTACAAGCGTCACTAACTTTTAAAAAAACAAAACTGCAAAATATGAAGTTAGGGAAAGTAAATAGTTTTTCCATAACATTACTTTTTTCCTTAAAAAAATCTTGTAAAAACAGATGAGAAATAATTTATTATTGGGGAAAATACCTTGTTTTTAAATTTGGTATATCTTGTCTGGTGTGTCAGTACTCTAGTCAAGATAATTATATTACGTTAGGAACATTAGCTTTTACATAGTGTTTGTCATAGGACTGTTTTTGAAGTGTATCTATACCAAATATGAAAAAATATTGTCTGTTAATACAAGAAGTTCCTAAATATGGGATCAATAAAGTTCAATTGGACATTGTATCATGGAACAAGTCAAGTTAAAGAATGGCTAAAGCATTTAGGGTCACATGTTCCAAAGGGACTTCTTTCCAGGAGCATTGTTTTTCTTCTATTTTTATTTTTAATGATCTAAGTGTCTGTCAAGTTTTAAGCCACATCTAATATTAGTAAGGAGTTGTAACAGTTGTAAACATGCTGGGACAAACGTCTATGTTTAAAAAAAATACTAGAAAATCTTTATGGCCTAAGGAAACTATACTTTGTTGTAAATGATAATAGCATAAGGTGGAAAGACTGACCACAGTCCATCTCGTCAGTCCCATCCAGGCAGTCTCTCTCTCCGTCACACAGGAATTTCTTTTGGATGCAGCGTTTCCCATCAGCACAGCGGTACTCACAGCTTTTGGTCTTTTTCCAGCAGTTGATCTCATCAGAATAATCCTGACAGTGGGGTTTTCCATCACACACCTGATCAGCAGGGATGCACATCCTGCCATGGCTGCACTGGAACTCACCTAGGATTGGAGCAAAGTTCAAGATAGCAGTGTTTAATAGTGCAGAGAGTACTTTATGGCTTTAAAGTACTCTCTGCTGCTGCTGTAGTAAGCCAAGAAACAGCTCCAGTAAGCCTTAGTTCAAAGCTAATTAGCCAAGTAACAAAATGCCAAACAATCCATCTCTACAATCAGTGCTATTAGTCTTATCTGCTATTACCTTTTCTACAGGTGTCTGGACAGCCCTGCTCATCAGATCCATCCACACAGTCCGCCTCTCCGTCACACACGTGATTGTACAGAACACAGTCTGTGCCGTCACTACATGGCCTGGAGCCAATGCGACACCTCAGTGTTTTAGGTGAAGGTGCTGGAGCAGAAACGCTGGGACAGTCCACCTCATCTGATCCATCCTGACAGTGGACACGGCCGTCACACACCAGTGTCTGTGAGATACAGTTTCGTCGATCCTTACAGAGAAACTGGGCTGAGAAGGAAAAAAAGAAAAACACTTGTTTTGACTCCACATTTTTATGTCAAAAAAACCTTGTTTTGACTCCACATTTTTATGTCAACAAAAAAAACCCCAAAATCTCAGAACAGACTAACCATCATAAGGACATCTGGTCACACAGTTCTCATCAGATCCATCAGGGCAGTCTTTCTGTCCATCACACAGTTGGGTTGGACTGATGCAGACAGAAGACTGAGGACACAGGAATGAAGGACTGCTGCAGGGAGGCTTGGTGGGAGCTGGGGTCAAGGCTTTGACAGGGGGAGGGGCTTCCTTCAAGGGGATGCTCTCAGTTGTGTCTAGAAGTAATCAACACAACACTTCCTTGTAATTCCCTTATTTTAAAGTATCTCAATTTTTTTTATAATTTTTTGATTGACAACCTAAAAATGTTCAATAATTTTATATATATAGGGGGGTTTAAGGATCAAAAGTCCCTGCTCTAAATTGTGTTTTGGAGCAACGTTTTTTTGTGTTTCTGTCATTATAAACCCAGAAAAGCTGTGTCTCACTGTAGATGTTGAAATTACATGATACCATGGATAAACAGACAACTACGTAGAAGACATTTCTCATCAATGTGTGTTTGTAGGAAATGGAACTTCCCATCACAGGAACTTGTGATGATAATTATTTTCTGGTTGTAAACAAAAATTGCTGAAAAACTCACCACATCCTTCTTCATCTGATCCGTCTCCACAGTCCACCTCTCCATCACAAACATGACTAAAGAGAACACACTCAGTCCCGCTTCTACAGAGTGTGGAGCCCAGACGACACCTCAGAACCTGGGCACGGGCAACAGGAGCGGCTACAGTGGGACAGTCCACCTCGTCTGAGCTGTCGTGACAGTGAGATCGACCGTCACACACCAGACTCCTGGAGACGCAACTGCGACGATCTTTGCACAAAAATTCACCTGGTAGAAAATAGGGATATAACCAATGTGATAAGTGTTCCTGTGGAGTTCATTAAAGAGGAAAAACAAAAAAATAAACAAGACAATGATTATGAATCGTACTTTTGTTCTGACATTTTTTCACACAGTTTTTCTCATCAAAACCGTCGGGACAGTCTTTGCGACCGTCACAAAGCTGGTTTGGGGATATGCACATTTTCTCGGTGGGGCAGAGAAGGTTTGGACTTGTGCAGGCAGGTAGAGTTGGAGCAGTGGATGTGGAAGACGAAACGACCTCTGGTGTCGTCGGAGCTGCATCTTAAATATCAAAGTAGCTTAGTTCAAAGAGGGTACTATTTCTACCACTGAATCCATCAAATCCATCAAACTTCAAATGGGTTTGCTCACCACAGTCCAGCTCATCTGATCCATCTTGACAGTCCTTCTCTCCATCACACACATGGCTGAACAGAACACACTCTGTGCCATCATTGCACAGCTTGGAACCAATGCGACACTTGAGCAATTTTCTAAGCATCTGAGGCAACGGCACTGCAGTCGGACAGCCGTCCTCGTCTGATCCGTCTTCACAGTGAGAACTGCCGTCACATATGAGATTTGCAGCAACACAGCGGTTGTTGTCCTTGCATCTAAAATCATCTAAAATGAAGAGTTGAGGCAGAACATGTTAGAA